ACCAAACCTCTGACAAAACCCACTTATCAATCCTCATCAATAGGATGATAAGTCCACAAAGTTGTTCCAATCGCAACACAAATCCTGTCACGTTAACACGAAACCTCTGACAAAACCCACTTATCAATCCTCATCAATAGGATGATAAGTCCACAAAGTTGCTCCCATTGCAATAAATTCCCGTCATGTTAACACCAAACCTCTGACAACTCACTTATCAATCCTCATCAATAGGATGATAAGTCCACAAAGTTGCTCCCATCGCAACACAATCTTGTCACGTTAACATCATACCTCTGACAACCTACTTATCAATCCTCGTCAATAGGATGATAAGTCCACAAAGTTGCTCTCATCGCAACACAAATTCCTGTCATGTTAATATCACACCTCTGATAAAATTCACTTATCAATCTTCTTCAATAGGATGATAAATCCATAAAGTTGATCCAATCGCAACAAATTCCCGTCATGTTAACATCAAACCTCTGACAATCCACTTATCAATCTTCTTCAATAGGATGATAAGTCCTCAAAGTTGCTTCGATCGCAACATTCTCTTGTCACGTTAATATCAAACACCTCTGACAAAATCAACTTATCGACTCTCGTCAATAGAGCGATAGGTCCTCAAAGTTGCTCCGATCGCAACACTTTTCACTTATCGACTCTCATCAACGGAGCGATAGGTCCATAAAAATACTGTTAGGTTAACATCACACCTCTAACAGTCAAACCCCCAATGAACTTGTTAATCCTTTTTCAACAAGAATAGCAAGTTGTCATTATAAAATCCTCAACAGATTAAATATTTTCTGGAATTATCCTAGTGATAATAAAGAAAATTTCTGAATTTCACTCTAAGTAAAAATTCATGCCAAGTTAATATTACACCTCTGGCGCTTCCAACTTTCTTTCAGTGTTTCAAGTAACACAAGAAGAAATAACGACAAAGTCTACGTATTCAACATCGTAGCACCAAAAATCATGGCTTTTACGCATGGGGGACTTTATCTCGATCCCTAATTAGAGATAAGCCTACGCCTAACACGCGTTGCCGGTTAGTCTTTTCCCGTGAAAATGACAAAGTCTATGTATTCAAAATCATAGCATCAAGTCTAAGAGGGTTCATTCTCTTAGCACAACGTTACATGTGGAACGGACTTAGACAATCCACATGCTAGCCCGACTCAAACGGTAGTCGGTAAAGGCTTATCAAATCCGTTGATGGCTGAGGGTTTGCCAAAAATCCTATGCACGTTTGCAGGTCCATCAGCTTAATGGATGTGAGCCGAGACTTAAAACAGATGAGCCAAAGACAAGTCTCAATGACTTAGTCAAAAATGCACGGAAGCCAATTCCATGTCTTAAGTCAAAACGTTGAGGTCAGACCCGCGATGCAAAAACCGAACGCCGAGGTCACACCCGTGTTCCAAATTCAACATGCAAGGGTGAGACCCGCATCTCAAGTTCAAAATGCAAGGTCCACCCCCACATTCCAGAAGCAGGATTATGGCGCATACCTTCACACAGGTCCTACGTGGCAAATCCCTTCAACCAAGATGCCTTCGAAGCAAGTGCAGAGAACAAATCCTTTACCACAAGGAATCAACAGCTCCAAGATCAGAGTTGAGATCCAAAGTATTCCGAAAATTCGTCCCAGTCAACCGCGAACTTTCGAAAACTTTGGAGGGGGTTCTGTAGGCTGTCTAAAAATCACAATAGATAGCTGATCCCCATCAAACACCGATGATGGAAGTTACAATCTGACGACTTCCAGAAAGCTACAATTTGAAGACTTTTACGTAGATCGCTGAAGGTTACAATCTGACGACCTTCACGACAACCGATGAGAGCTCTAGTTTAACAGCCTTCACAATCAACATCGAGAGTTACAATCTGACGACTTTTGCATATCAAAGAGCTAAAGTAAAGATTACAAAACGACGATCTTTGCAACGTTCTGACAGAAAGAGACTATAAATTGACGGTCTCTTCAAACCAAGACGTGGAAGTCCTCCCCGCGAACCAGCATCAAGACGCACCATGTTCATAGCCACGAACGCAGCTCAAATGTAGCTCCAAAAGTTACAAACGCAGCTCAGATTTGGCCGCTAACGTAGCTTCCAAATCGCTGTAAACGCAGCCTTCAAACGCTGTAAACGCAGGTCACATCCAGCTCCAAACGCAGCTCATACCGCTACCCAACGCAGCTCTTCACTCGCTGCCAGACGCAACTCTATATCTCTACCAAACGCGGCTCCAAGCGCTGCCAGACGCAACTCTATATCGCTACCAAACGCAGCTTCTAATTGCTGCGTCCGAGCTTCCAGACGATGCGTTCAAGCTTCCAGACACTGCGTTTGAATGCAGAATTCACGTCAGAACGCGGGCCTGCGTTTGACTCGTTCAAACACGAGCTGAACAGTTTCAAAACCGTTTCCCACGATCTGAGGGGATCACAACTCCACTCAGGAGTGATTTAAGGGGCGGTTACATCCCATTAGCCCCACTTAGGAGCGAATTAAGGAGGTGGTTACACCCCTTAATCCCCTATAAATAACAACAAACTCAACAGAGTTAAAGATCGGATTTTTGATAATCAGATCAGGGCTGGATCTTTCGGGTACGGTCTGTTGGAACTTCTTGGCAGCAAAAAGAGGATCCTTCATCTTTCGGTTGGAGCTTTGGAGATCAGCAACAAGATCTTCTTCATCCTTGGCTTATAACCTGAGATTAAAGGAATACAAATCAAATTTTCCTTCATTGTCTTTTTACTGCAAAATTTTCCACCAAACAATGGTATTATCTTTCTCTATCATCTCCGAGGCTTAATTGATGCGACAAAGAGCTTTTTACGGTGGAAAAAGGGGGATCTATGTTCAAGTCCAATGGTAATCTATAAAATTCATCTATGTTGTATGTAAGTTTTGAGATTGTTTTTTTTATAATTTAAACTTTTGAAGGTGTTTCAATAAATTTTAAAATATTAAGGGTGTTTATTATAAAATTTAAATTATTCAGAGAATATTGTTACTTTTTGAATTTCATGTTTGTTATTTTAAGTTTTTATATATGATGATGTTTTGTGTAATTTTGAACATTTAAGAGGATTTTGTGTAATTTTTGAAAAAATTTGGGGTTTTTTGTTGTTGTTGTAATATTTCATGTAACTTATTAATCTTATTTTTTTAACTATTGAGCTATATGTAAATCATATGGAGATTAAGATGGGATATAATTATGATTATAATAGATTAAGATTTAACTAAAATATTTTAAAAAGTGAAGGGTAATATTGATTAAGGAAAGATTTTCCCGAATTCGTGCGTTTAAAAAAAGTATGATGTCACCTTGCCTTCTATTCAATCAAATCTTAGTTTAATTCTAGGCTAATTATTGTGACTTAGAGATGAAAATGAACCAAATATTTAATAAATACTTTAGTATTTATTCATTTAAGTATTCATCATATTTGATTCGATAATTTATTTAACAATAAATAAATAGTTTTTTAATATTTGGTCCATAAATAAATAAAATTCAACCATAGGCATATTCGACTTGTCTGATTAATAAATTATTTGATAATCTTTTTATTTATGACTTGTTCTAGTTACACACGTGATGTTATGTTCTTGACCCACCTACATTTTTTATTTTAGTTGTATACTAATTTTGAGAGGCTTAACAAGTCCTAAATTCATTTTTAAAGCAAATAACACATTACAGATTTAGGTATCATATATATGAATGACTAATTTTCAATTATGAGTTTGAATGTAATCTAAAATATTAAATTCTTAGAACAATGAAAATACTACTTTTATTAAATAAAAATATCTACTTAATTAAATTGTTTAATATTCATAAAATATAAATTATTAATCAAAAAAATATACTTTAATATTCAACAAGTATTCATGAATATTTGGCAAATACTGCTATTCGAATTCGAAATAGAAGAAAAGCAGAGAACCATATTCGAATTCATATTTGAATTTGAAAATTTTAAACGAATACAAATACAAATATCTTGGCATTCGATTCATATTCTGTTCATTTTCAGCTCTAGTTTTGAGTAGTGTTAAGTGTAACTAAATGTTTAAATGAGAGGGTTATGCAATTTACCCTTAACCGTTTATTGAAGGACTAGTATTTAGACCCGTGCAAAGCACGGTTCCTAAAATATTTTCTGTAAATATTTAACATGTTACCAAACTACACTATTTTTCTTTAGATATGAAGTATAGTGGTGAAAGTGAACCGAATAATTAATAAATAGTTTTGTTATTATTCATCTAGATATTCGAGGAAGTTCGATTCGATAACTACTTCATTAACCAAATTTCTAAATATCAAATAACTACTCAAAACTAAAATCGAAATAGCACAATAAATATCAATTTTTTCAGTGCATAAATGTGTGAAAATATTTATCTAAAATTTAAATATAAAAAGTGAAATAAAGTTAATATTTCATAACTTTGATGAATTGAGTTGACACTCCGATTCGATCCATCCATCATCATCCCTGACGTAATCAATCTCCAATCCATAACCCACGAACAAACAAAACCCATTAAAACTTAGCAACCAAATCTTCATTAAAAAAGCAAAAAAGATTAACTAAATCAAATTTAAACATAAATGTTGGTAACATGATCAGAAATAGACAAATCAAAATTAATCATTATAAATAGAAATGAGCATCTTCACATGCTAAAAGAAGTAACTAAATAATCCAAAAACCAACAATCTGAGGTGCAAAAAATTAGAATTTAGATTAAATTCTTCATCATGATTTATATATCAATCAATTCCTCTAGAAACTAACTAAAAAAAATTTTTATGCAGAAAACCCTAACAAAATAAAATCAGAGAAAGTACATGCAGTTTTCTTCTTTCCAAAGAGTAAATATTAAGATAGAGAATTGTGAGCAATTTGTGAAGGTCAATCAACAAATCAGAAAATAAAAAAGATTGGTTACTATAAAAGACATACTTTGAAAATTCTTACAAAGAATAGTTATATAATTCTTATACTAAACAAGAGAAAGAATGAAAAAAATATAATTCACATTACAGTCTTCTAGGCTTACTGATTGTGCTTTTAGATCATAAGCAAATCTATCAGCAATCCCAACATACTCTATCCATCCATATGAGCACTCAATTTCTGCATTCCAACAATCTGCAGCATAATGAGCTATCTCATTGGGCAAATGCCGTCGGAAACACAATTTCTCTTTGTCAATTCCAAGGTGAGTGAGGAAGAGGTACACTCTGCCAATGAAGTGGCCAAGAGTCACATTGTTGACAGTTCCCTATTAATGATAACAAAATGAAATTAAAACTGAAGTTAAATGATGATACTAAAATAATATAGATCAGCCTAATACTAAAGTAAGCAACAAGCGATGTTCAAGTGATCAATTCCACATCTTTTGATTATTCCTCTCATAGGCTAAAGGTTGTTGTTGCATCTGACAAAGAACATGACAAATGTCTTCAGTATCAGTTATTTCAATTTGCATTTCTCCTCTAAGTAATCTAGACAAAGAAAGCTATGAATTTAGCCGCTTATTGGTCATGGACTCATGGATTATCGACTCTAGATTGGTAAAATCGGACAACTCTTCACTTTGTTCATCATCTGTTAAAATGTTGCATACTTACATATTTGTTGTTTTTCTTCAAAATCAAGCAACACAACCAATAGGGAAAAAAATAAAGCCAAAATCTTGAGTGAACTTTCCAGATTCTCGCTTTTCCAAATCCCTACAGGAGGAAGATGACTGGTAAGGAAATGAACCATAATTTTATGTTACCTAATAATTTTTTGTTTGTTGGTTCCTAAAATGTGATTATGTTGTCTCCTCTTCAAATACAGAGACAGACCATCATGTAGTGTCCTCCTCAAATGCACAATCGAACGCAATATTCTTCCTTTTTTTTGTTAATCCAACACATTGACAACCTAAAATGCTACCGCATCTACCAACAACAGACGGGAAAATCAACAATATCACCAATCGTACAACATAAAATATAGAGATCAAAGAGCCAAAACCTCATTGATTTTGAGCTTGTTGAAGACATCCTGAAGAACCTTATAATTCTGTAGCATCTCATACTCGGACTTGGCATCAAAATTAACCTTGTGCATCGGCACCATCCCAGGGTAAACCGCGTCCATGAGCTGGCATTGGACCGCTCCAGACGTCGCCTGAGATATCTTGATCGGAGTCGATCAAAGACCAAATCAATAACCAAATTAGTCAAAAATTTGATGAAATTGAGTTCAAAGGTTCGTACCTCTTGGACTTTGGAGAGGTTGAGATGGAGCGTCGAGTTGATCCAGACGATGATCTCGTTTCGGTCAACGAAGCAAGCGCCATCCATCATCCCTATGTTCGTCGCCGCCATCAGAGATCACAGAGAGCGATGAGAGAGAGAGAGAGAGAGAGAGAGAGAGAGAGAGAGAGAGAGAGAGAGAGAGAGAGAG